TGCTTTGGGTGAGGATTTCTCAAAAAATCATCAATCAACCCACTCAAAATTGAAAGGAATACGAAAGAGGACATGTCGAACGTCGTTCTTCTGAACACCTGTGTATTTGTTTCAATAATTGTGAAGTATGGGGATTCATCACTGCTGTCAGTGGGAATTTATTTGTTGTGGTGCATCCCATCCTGTTCGTAAGTGACTTTGTCACAAAGGCAGAGGCGCCACAATTTGCAGGCGCTCATTGGACAATCACTGAAGTTGCACGTTAACTTCCGGTTCCATGGTTACATGTAATCGGCGATTAAAAATTAATTAAATTAATGCATTTAACCCTATGTGCAGTGCACGTCTGCAGTGGGCTTGGTTTAAACTGAAGTGACGTCACACTTACGATAGATCTAGAGAAAGGTAGCGGCCATGTTGTTTTGACCGGGATTTTAACATGTGCCCTCTGCAGCTGTCTCTGTCAACTAAGCTGGAGTGGACATACTGAGATAAAATAGACATGAAAACAAATTATTTGACACCCTATACCTCTGAATTTTATGGTTTTTATTACAAAAAAACCACCAAAACGGAATAAGCACGTATAGGTGGCTGTACTGTTAGAACATTACAAAGATATTGTTCGATTGTTCTTTTCTGACTCTTTGGAGAGTATTCTTTCACAATATTATTAAAATTGTACGCAGAAAAGTTCTTTTTCAGTTTGTTAAAAATCAGTGAATTCCAATTTTCCGATGCTGGCAAATATTTTGTGGGGGCTTGATTATTTTTAGACAACATGGAAGATAAGTGGGTGGGCGACATGTCGAAGGTAAACATTTTTACAACATTGGTCATTTTCCGTTGTCCAAAAGCTTACTTCTTGGGAAAACGTTTGCAGTAATTATGTTCACTTTGGATGAGGAGGCAGTCAGTGTTTGTGCGACATTTCCAATCATCATTTGGCTTGGGATTTAGTTGGCCCCGTTTGTAATGTGGCTGCGTGGTATATTACAGATGGAACCTTTGTGAAAGCAATTGAGCCCTGCAGGATCTGTATTGCTTGCTTTTTGCACGTTTGACAAGATACTCTAGTTTCTTATCCATTTCAGCGAGGGCTTTTGCAGCTGGCGAGCCACCAGTTATTGGGCAACCGGCAGCTGTACACTTTTGGACTAATGGATTGGCGTGTCCATTATTCACCAAGTGCACTGCGCTGTGATCCCTACAAGATCCATTTCTTCAGAAGATTAGTGTTCCTTTTAGATTGGTTATACTGCAAAGGCATGATTCATTGATTCAGCTTTCCGAGTACTGGTACCAGATTTAGTTTTGTCCAGGGTTTCCTGGCAAAGTTTCTTGCTTAGTACTTTGAGTATGTTCATCACAAGTTGACAATTTCAGTTTCGACTGGCAGGTGTGAAAATTTATATTTACTGCCCCTAAAAATTGGTGACCACAGTTTGCAAAGGTCATGATTTCCAATGCAACATTGAGCGATTGCACCTGCTGCATTTGCAGACATGGCTTTCATTTTGGAAGAATATCCACCACAGTGTTTTTTTTTCAATATGGTAGAAGCCTCGGCCTGTGCCCTGTGGCTGACATCATCGGCAAATCCATCCTGCAGCTTTGTCTTTTCCATTTTTACTTTGGCCTGGAAACATCTCTTGACTGAATTTTGCTCGACTTAGGGCTGCACAGATAGATCGGTTTAAATCAGGGGGGTCTATTAAAGCTCGGTTTCCATACCTGCAGTCGTACTCTGCATATGGGAGCTTACACTTTCTGCCAGACAACCGTCGGCATCGGTTGTCACTCTATTTACAAAAAGAGGTTCGTTACAGTTTTAAGGTCTTTGGGAACACTGAATCCCGCCGTCACGTTCATCTCCCATGTTGTAGCTCTTTGGGTGAGTGGTTGTGCATTTCCCAGTGTGCTTTTGATCCTCTGCTTTGGAACAGTCAAATTTTTGCATAGTTTGTTCTCGTGGTAATACATGATGACATATTTGCTGGCCGTGACATTTCCGCTAACAACATATCTTGTCTGTGTTGCTGGGATGAAGAGTATTTTCTTGCGAGAGTTTCGAAGAGGATTGTTATATCGTCTGTCGGTCTCCACTGCAACTGGACTTCATCTTTCTAACCCTGCAGTTCATGAATGTCTTTCACGATTTTTCTCTTGTTGCACATATCTCTTTCGTTTGCTGTGGTGATGATTTCACCACATGTGTTCGATGTGTATTGCAGGGCACTCGCCGAAGGAACAGTCGTGTCCATTATCGACAAGAGCCTCCTTGCACCAGCTATTGAAATTCCAGTGTTGTACAGGCCCACTGAGAAGGCCATGTTTGGAGTGGCTGTTTGTCGTCCTTTCCCCCTCTCTGCAATCTCAATGAACAGTTTTCTCCTGTTGCTGCAGCTCCTACACTTCCGGCAGGACATCATCTCGGACACGGCCAAACCTCGTGGCTCATCTGACATCAGCGTGGATCGGCCATCACAATCTGGATGTACCCGTTGGTGATCTAGATCTAGGATAGCCTGTGCTCCCAAGTCGACTGCAGAATTGATGTCGACAAATCGGTATGTCGCGGGGACACCTCCTTCGGACTGATCAGCTGGACCCTGGCACTCGACTTCTGCACTTGCTTTGTGTAAGAGGTTGTCAAGAAGAGAATTGTCTGCAGCTTTGGGACAGGGCAGCATGACATCTTTTGCCGGCACAGCATTGGGCGTGATGCAAAAGAACCCCTCTGTATCTCAGTCTGGACACAGCGAGTTCCATTTGCTGTTGTGCTGGCTTTATATAGACTGTCGGTGAGTCCTACTTCAGTCGAATATGTTTGGGCTTACATTGTGAAGGGGACAAATTATTGCCATTCTGGAACCAACTTTTCTTCCTTTGTAGGCTGCATCTCCCAGCGACCCATTTCGCTGCAGAAATAGCTAGCACTGCAAGTTTGTGCAACTGTTTCCTCTGTGTGACCATGTGGCACAGTGCATGTACTCTTACTCACTGTTGAACTTCCGCATGATAACCAAAGCACAAGGGAGTTTATTTCTGTTGTTATTTTATGGAAAGGTACGGAATAGCGTGGGGGTGGGCGAGAAGGGAATGTGGGGGGTCTCATGAAATCTTTTGAGACAGTAATTAACCAAGCTTGGACAATACAGACCGGGCAGTGAAGAGGGCTTGACCAAGGAATCATTATAGGGGTCGCTTAATAAATCGTCAACTCGGAATTGGAGACAAATTGACAGCCACATCTAGGAATTAATACATCAAAGGCCTATTGTACACAGTTGTAGATCTTCCAAGAATGTTTATTTGTTACCGTATATTGTCAGAAAAAGCCTGTAATGTTTAATATGTCAGATGTCACCTGTAAAATACAGAGCACCTTGTTCAATTCAAGAGAATGTAATTAAGCTATGCTGAAAATTAGTTAGCACCCCCACACCTTTCACCCGGATCCACCCCAAAAGTGGAAAAACTCACATCAAACTGACCCAAGAGGGACCCCAAAATAGCATGTATATGTCAACGAAGGAAAATTGCTTCCAATCGTATGTGGGAAGGTCTAAATTCAATGCCCTCTGATGCCCAAGGCATGTACAAGAGTCGTGCTTTACAATTGAAAACACAGGGTAGCACCATAGGCACACCCTACAGTTCAAACCATGTGGTTTCTCAGAGGAGCAGTGCTTTCCAATTTGTTCTTAAAAAGAAATTATTCGAGAGATAATTCTGCTTCTACTGATTGGAGTCTCTCCCCAAAATGAGAAAGTTTCCTGCTATTAAAAGGTGCACCTATGGTAAATAGGCACAAGAGCCGTCCGCCGAACTTATTAACAAAAGTTCTTCACTCTTATTTTCTATATTAAAGGGTCCTGAGAGCCATGGAATTGGGGAATTAAAGAAATATGGCACTGAACCTCTTACCCGGACTCAGGGCTTCCAATTCTGAGCGATTTGGATGCAGTCAGGTCCAAAAGTGGCACTATTTAGCCGTTTTGCAGAGGGGCGCATTTCCAAAGTGGCTACATTTACAGGCAGTGAAATTTCCTTCATTTAGGGGTTGTGTGCCTTGGGTGAGACTTTCTCGAAATTTTATCAGTCAACCCACTAAAAGATGAAAGGAAAATGAAAGAGGATATAATCAACATCGTTTTTTCGTGCAGCCTCAACACCTGTGAGAATTGTATTTTTTTAAATATTTGTAAAGTATGGGGTCTTATCACTGCTGCCTATGGGAATTTATTTGCTGTGGTACACCCAATAGATCTAGAGAATGGCAGCGGCCATGTTGTTTTGGAGCTCCACAACCCACGCAGACACTCTGTCGTAATTGAGAACCAAAACCCCAGGAGAATTAGACACATCAACAGCCTGGGTTCTTGGTGAGCAAACTGTATTTCATTCCTGTCAAGCAAAAATTTACTTTAAAGTGAAATTTGAAAAGAGAATACTAGTATGATATTGAACAATCCCGTAGAGTTGTTTGCATCTAATAGCATAAGTGAGCCGGTGATCAAAGTGCTTTGGACCAAATCCATTGTCACAGTGAGTCTGCAGTACACACAAAAGCCGTTCAATTTATCTACTACCTATGCACCGTTTTGCATGCAGTCGGTGCTAGTAATGAATATTTATGACTTTGACTGCGTCTACAATTCCGTTGACCTCACCTAGAGACTCATTTTTCTTGCACCAGAAGCCCATAGCTCCTCTTAATACTACCCTGATGGCCATTAGATGAAGATTTGTGACAACACACAAATTGATTTCAATCAATTGAAATAAATACTGTTTCTAGATTGATCTTATGTGACCCACTCTTTTAAAAAGAGTCACAAGTTGCCAAAGCTACGTGTACTCTTGGGTGACAGAGCTTTAGAAGAGTCTTGCACCATGGTTATCAGAAGGAGCCCTCCACGTGTTTCACCCACACATTATGTTCATTTCCTTCATCACACTAAAATGAGTGATACATGTACATCAACATAAAAAGCTCAGCTTCCTCTTTCTATTTCAAACTAAAACAAAATTACAAACAACCTCATGAGTAATTTTCAAAGAGAAGGTTACATGCAACACCCTATTATTTTTTATACATTCTATCACTTCACAGTACTCCATAAATTGACATTTCTTATTGTTTTCTTTAGTCTTAACTCCAGCTTACTTGTTGCCCTCTATCCAGTGACATGTATTTTGTGATACCTGCTCACAGCATTAATATTATCGTGCACACCAAGGGGTGGAAAACATCATTATATCAGGCTACAAATACCAGCTTGACTGTCAGTACTGAAATTTACAAACCGGGGCCTTAAACTCTTCCTCAGAATCTTTTTAAGTGCAGAGAATGTCAGACAGAACTATGCCATAGCGGCGTGTTTGCATACTTTTTCTTAAGTAAAGAGTGCGGATAAGCATATTTTCATTTTTGCTAATAGATATCTCGGTGCTGCTTTCTTAAAACTATCGTCTGTATTTGATAAGAACCTGGTAGGATGAGTTACAGAATGAAATAGTTCATTTGCAAGGAGACCACTTAAGTGCATACATGCTTTCGTTTCTAGTTGAGTACCGTACAAAAAATAAAAACTGTTTAGAACAACATTTTCAACATTATCGTATTCCTCTAATGTGTTTGCCCGTTTAATAGCGTCTCAGAATGAATCGCGCAAAGAAGCAATTAATTTGCAAAGAAACAAGAAGTACCGGGCACGGACGAATGATGTGCGAACTGCACTATTTTTGGTTCCTTCAGGCGATCGCTTACTTTTTTGGCCGTATAGAGGTGATGTTCTTTTAACTGCGTGCGTGTTGAATCCTACTTTAATACTGGGCGACAGTGGGCTTGATCGGGAAAACTGATAATCTCAGTAAACTTCGAAAATAATTCGCCAGGGGGGGGAGGCGGGACTAAAACCATTTTTTCGGTTGCTAAGCGAAAAACATTACTTTGTGAAAAGGCGAGACAACGTGTACACAACACATCAGAAAAAAGTGATTGGCGCGAATGATAACGAACTGGTGGTGCTAAGGAGGAAGAAGTTACACCCAACTGTATTTAGGTCCTCATTCTCATACCAGTACTAGGCAAAACTTCGTCCTAAGTAATTGAAAATAAATTCACAATTCTTATTTTACACTGTTTGAACTACGGCTAGTCACGTCAGAGAATCTCCCTGTGCTGCGTGACATCGTGTTCTTACGGCAGCGGAGAATACGCAGAAAGGCCTCCTTGAACAGTGGGTTGGCGACGGCGTAGCAAAACGGATTAACCGTGCTGCTCAAATGACTCATCCAGGCTAACACCTGAAAATGGATCATACAATACGGTACATGGTCAAACGATCGACTTCGAGTCACTCTATTAAGGAGGATAAGGTGTTGGAGGCAAAGACATAAGGCGTTATCTTAATGGCAGAAGACAGAGGGCAATTACTGGCAGCGTACACGGGAGAGGGGGGTCCAGTGGTTCCACCCACTTTTTTAGTTAGTCAGTCAGTCGGATAAGTCCCCTCCCTCCACGATTTCCATGTCCTACAATGGGCCGAGGCTGAATGGGCTGACTTATTAATGGCTGATGGTCTCACAACTGGCCCCCATTTTGAAAGTCGTTCCACCTCCAGAGAGGACAACTCGCTCTCTCTCTCCACGCCTATTAGTCTTGGCCCAAGACAGGGATTTCCTCAAGTCCATTAAAAAATCTCGGTCCGAAAGGCGAAACTTCGTTCACCACGAAATTAAAAGACTGCTCCATTTGTCTACGTAGCCTGATAACCTTCAATTTTACAAATCAACTAGGCAAAGAATGATGACTGTGCTCATGCTTTACCCAAGCTCTATAAAGCAGCTACGGCTTAGACTTTCAATGCACCAACTTCTGTCACAGAATAAATTGGGAATCCCGTGTTGCAAGAAAGCAACGACTGAACTGAATGTTCATAAAAAAACACTCACCTTGAAGATGTTCGTAATTGACAGCGGTAAGCTCACTGGGTCAACTGCTGCCCACAAGGCAAACACTGACCACGGCATGGCAGACACGATCATGGTAGTGAAGACAAAGGTGAGGGTGCGGGTGGCACGACGAGTGGCCAGACGACTCTCACGTTTCGACGATTTTCCAGAGCGCACTGAGTGGCCCGGTCTGTCGCGGTGGTGACGAGGCCCTGCTGAGGGCGTAGCTCTTCTTCGCGTTGTCCCACTCGATTTAGGGTTCTTTGGGGCTTGACCTGTGTGATCATCTTCCGCAGAAACCTCGAAGGCTGGGTTGGTCATTCCTAAGGAGACTGCGGCCGAGACGCTTAAGACAGAGGTAACCGGTTCCGCGTCCCTCAGCTCTGACACTCCTATTCGTTCAGGTAATTCGGCATCAGAGCGATAACTCGCCAAAGAAAGTTCTTTGGGTAACGCCTTTCTCTTTTGATTGTCTCCGAGGATTGTCGCTTTTCCAGGGCCTCGACTTTTGTCAACACCTTTGCGAATAATAGCGCAGTAGACAAAAGCATACAGGACAACCGCCACGCTCATGGGTGCCCAGGACAGAGTGAGTACCGTAAATGTTAACAACGATGGATAGAAGGCGTATGGGCCGTGACACAAGGGAGGTTGCACCCGAGAGATGACCCCTGTGTACGGGAGAATAATGATTACAGGCGTCCACAGCAGTACGGGGATGAAGTAACCGAGGAATATCAGGAAGCATGCGTGGCCCAGCGTCTTCTCCGACAAATGTTTCAGCGGCATGTTGGTCGCCCGGAACCGATCGTAGCATATGACAAGCGTCATCATGAAGGTTGCTTGCAGGAAAATGTGATCGAGATATGTGGCACAAGTGCAGAAAGCCTCACCAAAAAGCCAGTTCTCATTGTAGTCTTTCAAGAATCCTAGCACGGGCATAACGCCGCCACTGACCAGGTCTGCAACTGCTAAGCCTACGACGTAATAATTGGTATAGGTGCGCAGTCTCTTTGTTGTTGCGTACGCGTAAAGAACTAAAACATTTGCCCAAAATGTAATGAACAGGACAACTGCACGGATCACGACATAAGGAATTAGCCATGTGGGTGTTTCGGGTGCATCTTGGACAGGATCAGACTCGGTATAAAGCAAGGCTTCCGTCAGAGTGCTTTCATTAAGTAAGTAGTCACTAATATCAGTGCGTGCTGTAGAATAAGGTCCATTCGGGGATTCCATTGTCAGTGTTGCCGGGCTGCTGTCACTTAGCCACGCGAAAAGACCTTTACTCGAGACGTGACCAGACTCTGTTGGTAACGTGAACAACCAAGTTGTACCAGTCTCCAAGAACTTTACAGGCCAGTTTCGTTGTAAGTGGAATGCTCGATATGTCTGCAAATCACACAATGCAGGAGTTCAACAGAGCGACATCATGCTTTCAGGGCAAACAGGGAATACTTTTATAACCACGTTACTCCGAAATTTGACATCTTTGTGTGGCATGCTATATCGCAACGATGTAACGTACACAAGACTGTTTTACAACTTGTCTTGAATTTAGACATAGGCTAAATTTTACTCAGACCTTTCATTCTGAATGAGACCCACGTCGATAGCTCTGAAGTCATTCTAATGGCTCATTTCGAGCGCTCAGCAAGCCTTGCATTTATGCCTGGTCTGCGTACACGGAGGTCTGTGCTCGTGTGAGGATGGATTCAGAGGTGTCTCCCTTTAAAGAGGATATCGCTTTCACTCCCTGATTGCATCTGCCACAGCCCAATTGCGTAGTCGTGTCTTCCCGTCACGCGGGATTTAAACAAATCCATTGATTATAAGACACTAGGGACGACAAAACACTCTGAAGTTGGCCTCTATGGGGCAATTAGATTACCGAGGCAACACCCCACTCCTATTGAAGGCGTCGAATTAAAAGACTCAGACTGCAACAATCTTGACGTCTTTGAGTAAATCTCATTGTGTGAATGCCTCAGGGGTTCATAACTCGACGCAGCGGCATAATAGCTGTAGTTGTCGAACAAATACACCAATTATTGTGCCTGTAATTAGATTTCCTGCACCAAATCGACAAGATAATGCTTGCTGATACTCTGACGACTGAAAAGTGCAAAGAAAAAATGGCGCCTGTAATATATTATTTGATAGGAAAGTGGTACCGTACTTTCCATTATGTAGATGTTCCGGTGGACAAACTTGCGAATCAAAAATGACAGTGAAACAGCTGAGCGCACAGTATTCAACTTATAGCCAATCACCCCTTGATCTCTCGGTGTTAAGTCTGTTCGCGGCAAGAGGACCCAGCCCATAAGTTCACTTTTTAATGTGCCCACGGTTTTCATGTGATCCCTTCTGTCGTTATGTTCAGCTGAATAAAAGCTTTACACATCATCATGCAGTACAGAGGGTGGAGGCTTATCGAACAGCCCCTTGCTCTTGTCTTTTCTCATTTGTACATGGACTACTTTTTCTTTATCTTATCAAAAGTTCTATTTTTTTCATTAAGTACACGTATTTGAAAAAAAGTTATTTGCATTCACTTTGCTAATTTCAATGTACCAAGTTTCTTTAATTTCTGATGGATTTTTTAAAGCTTATCTATTTTTCAATTTCTATGTACCTTGTTCCCTTAATTATCAATTTACTTCTTTTTAAAGAGCATGGAATAAACGTTTTTGAATTGAATTGAAAACAAAGAAAATACCCAAACAATGTTGCTTGCCAAGTTGCCGTTCACACAGCGCAAGACACTCGAGCTGGTTCTCTAGTGATCATATTTTTTCTCTCTCTGAGTACCAAACTTTGCCAAGCAATAATGTATACTGACCAACTTTATGAAATTGACCATAATAGCTTTTACCGGTTTCAAATTCAAGTTGATACTATTTCAGTGTTTGATGTAAACAGTTTGAATGCTCACGAGTTGCTTTAGAATGCTAAGGAATACGCTTATCAAGTGGAAAACCAAATCCATCCCATTTTTCCCCGCTCCGTGGAAAATAATAATGTCCTGAAGAAATCCTGAGAAATATTCCTATACATTTTGTTTTTTATTCAAAACATTTTCGTCTGCACATCTCTTTTCAAATTTTGCTTTTCATCTTTGTATTGTTTGTTGAGGGTACATTTCAATGTACACGTCAATTTAGTGGTCACAGTCAGTACAGCAAGGGGTGAAAAAAAAATAAACCTGCAATGAAATGGTATTTTCGTAATGATGAGTGACAAGTTCATAAATATAAAAGACCTCAACAAATGATTGGACACCTGCAAGAGGATGGCGTGGAATTCATCACCCTTAGCGGCAACTGTGTTACACTGCAGTGTAAATACTGTTCATCATAGAAAGGGAAACGTGCAATAAATGGATGATACTAGTATCTGTGTGAATTTTTATATACATCGACATGATGGAATAGGTTGTAACGGTAATACTTATATACATAATGTGTGGCTATATTTTCCATTTGAAAATAAAATACTTCAGCCGGTGTCGCATTTGTTACGAAGTCGCCTCTATTCCAAGCAAAACAACATAACAGACAAAAAAAATTAATCATGGGAATGAAACACTGCAACAATGAATACTGGAATCAAGGGTTTTTAAGGAACAAGAAAATAACTAAATTAAACTATATACACTTGACCAAAGTACACTTCTGAGACCAGCAATTTGAAAAAAGGAGTTATACGTTACAAAGTAAATCAATTAACCTGTTTGGCAGTGGTTGCGGAAGAGGAGGTACCTTCGTGAGACAGTTCTTGCCGTCGACAGGACTGCTTGACTGGTTGCTGGGTCAGCTGGTGGGAACTCAGGCTTGTGGACCGGTTGAGAGGGTCAGGTCACAGGGCGTGACTGTGATGAGGAGATTGCTAGCAGTAGTTTGGCTAAGCAATCTAAACGGAGACCTCAGCCGGGCGATGGGGCTATCAACGATCACGTATAACGCCTTAAGAGTGTAGAATTACGGCAAAGCTAAAGAGAGAAGGGCCTCGCCATGCCCCGGCAGTCCAAAGCTCAGAATCCGCGGAGGGATGAAATTCCTGCATTGTTAAAGTCCAGTAGAACATTCCTGTTACCGTTTAGGAATGTGGCCAGACCCCTAGTGCGATTAACTATTTGAATCCAGTAACTGCACTTCCATTTACTAATTTACATAATCGTAAGCTTGCAAGTTCTTAATACAATACAGGTTGACTATGAGTCGCGGAATACGAATTCGTTGTAAATTCAGTTACCTTCTGCTCACATAATTTAGTTCTGAGGTTTGTGCGAAATGCATGTCCCCGTGTATGACAGAAAGACAGTGTTAGGTGGGAAGAGTTTTTGGTTCTTCAACAGTCACACTTTTTCAGCCTGCTGATCACTCCAATGCTCCAGGAAACAGATGCCAAGAAAGTGTGAGTTTCAGTGCACAGACGCGCGTGAATTTTTGTGACACTCAAGGGCAAATGGAAAATTGTTTTCTGCCCTCAACACAACTATACACCGCGTGGGAATGCTAATGTTTGCTACCCACATAAAATATTCCATTCAAAGCAAGGGTGTAGGGGCACCCGCTTGGACATGTTTTCTGAGGGGATGGGGCAGTTTCTGGGCAATGTTTGGGGGTAATCACTCCTAATGGAAACCAGCCATCTACATGTACCTGTAAATTATCTTTTCATGACACAAAAATACATAATTCAGACCATCCAAATCCACTTTGGGCAGAAGCACCCCCTTTTCAGTTGCCAAAAAAAACCCCAAACCAAACCAAACAAAACAAAAGTTTGTCAAAAACTTCAATTTGTTGTCGTTCGTGAACCAGCGAAGTGCAGTTTTGACCAAAGGCGCACTGTTCGGAAAATGGTATGCTCTCTTAATTGGTCCGGCTTGAGGCTCACAGTCATAGAGTCTTACATCATTCATGTACATGTAGGCCTAGCATTACTGAGTGGAGCATTAATTACTATTCCTCTTCTTCGAATACTAACGCTCCACTCGGTAGAGCTAATGCAGGCCTACATGTCAATTTCATTCAGGAAGTACAAGTTTTTTTAGTTTTTTTTAAGAAAAACTGCATTAATAGTCTGCAATGTGAGTGCTTCATTAAAGTAGCCTACTACTAGTTGGCCATTATTTTCATACACTGGACAGCAAAAGAAACTTGCCACTTCTGTCAAAGGCCACACGTAAAAAATCACCCCATAGAAATAAACAATTTTTGTACACAGGTATGCTGCAATACTCCTCACTAATCACATGCACAAAAGCAAGTGATTATCTTTAGAATGTAATAACAGGCCATCTATAAAGGAGATCCGCTTACATTATTAGTTTAAGGGTGCCAAGGCAAAGGAAGACGGGCAGATAAAGCTCAAATGTAACTGTCTCAATTATACAGAGTTTTATTTATACGTCAACTTTTGAGGGTTCAAATATCTAGGCTTGATCACAGTTAACTACAATTCAAATCCTTTATTCCTAAAATTCCTATAATTCCCCCAAATCCCCGAATGCCAGGCCGGTGTGCGACCGTGGACTTGGCCTTCCAGACAGCACCTAATAATGAACAATGTGTGAAGTAAAGATCAAAACCCTTTAGTGTAAATCATACGAGTCGCCACACAAACAAACAGCTGAAGTACAATGTAGAACGAACACGACAATATCACATGTACGCTTCACGTGAAACCTTTACATTCAAGACGCTGAATTTTCACTCCAAAATCACTCATTCCGCGTTCTGCTGTTACCCCAATAATCATCACGTCGGGTCACACACTATGGAGTCATAGATTGCGAAGGTGAAGATACTACAAATCAGCTATTACAGCGTAAAAAGCTAGTTTTCATGGTAACAGATTAATCCCAAGATACTCTGTGCTGCCCACACCGGAAAGGATTATAGTTATTACTCGCACGCCCACCGCACTTCCTTCGCGGGAATTTGTTATACATTTCCAACGGGCTGGGCGGCGTGCCAATTAAATTATGGTGCCCCTTTAAACACGCTTCCCTACAATAATGAAGAAGACAATGACATGCACAGCAACTTGATTGCTGCATCACACACAAAAGCACTCTCCACCAAGCAAAAATGACCCATGAATGAACAACATTTTAAACAATCAATGACAACGTGAACACCTGTTTTGCCAAAATGATGTGCATGAGTGGTTTCTGCATAGGGATGTCACCCTTACTGACTACTCATACACATTATGGAAAAGGGATGATTGCGACTTCTTTATTTTGTCCTGTGACATTGATTTCGTAAAACTTACGGCTCATTCTGTTACTTTCTGTGACTTTTGGGCATGTGATTAGTAAGGGGTATTGCAG